ACACTTGGTTCAAACTACCGCCAAGAAGATTATATACGTAGAAAGCGCCTATGGATTAACCAGGAGGAATATTCAGAAACCAAATCGACTTTATGTTACTCAATAGCTGCCTATCCCTCAAAACATATCCAGGAGCTGACATTGGATCAGATCACTGTCCCTTGGTTGGTGTATTTAAGGTGAAAATGAAGAAGATCAAGACTAAGATGACTCCAAGTCTCCAAACTATGACCTTCAGAGACTCAAAACCCCAGTAATAGAGGAAGCAGCAGCAATAATGCTCAGCGACAACATTCAACCAAATGAAAACAACAACGTGGATATGGAACTCAACAAATTAAAGCAAGCAGTAGAAACCGCAAAGAAGGAAATATTGGATGACGACATGGTGGAAGAAAGAAGACAAAATAAAGGAAATCCAATGGAATATAAACGTATACAATGCATTATAAAACAGGAAATAAAGAAAGCGAAAGAAAAAGAACTACTAGAAAAATGTCGCGAGATCGAATACCATCAAAACATGCACGATGACTTCAATGTTCACAGGAAAGTCCGGAAAGTAACAAGGAAAGGCCACAAAAACAACTGTAAACCTTTGGTCAACGAAGCAGGAGAAATCATCATTGACGCGGAGAAAAAGAAGGAGGCCTGGAAAACATATCTAGAGAATCTATTCCATGATGTACGCAAAGAACAAAAACCAACTGTAGGAGAGGGACCGGAATTTCTGGTGGACGAGGTGAGAGCCGCCATTTCGGAAATGAAGCCATGGAAAGCAGCTGGTCTGGACCAAATACAGACTGAATTCCTAGAAGTTACTGAACGAAGATAAAATCAAATGGCTAACCAGAATATTCAACAACATCTACTCAACAGAAGAAATTCCGGCGGATTGGTTGAGGTCAGAATTTATCACACTGCTGAAAAAAGCAAGTGCCAAAACCTGCGGTGATTTTAGAACAATAAGTTTGATGAGTCATCTCTCAAAGCTGTTTCTCAAGATAATACACAAAAGAATATATAGACTTTGTGATGAACAGATTTCACCGAACCAGTTTGGGTTTGTGAGCGCCGTCGGTGCAAGATAGGCTCTATTTGGTAGTAAGGTGTTGTTTCAGAGATGTAGGGATGTCAGCTGTGATATATGTGCTTGCTTAGTCGATTATCAACAAGCATTTGACCGAGTCCAACACAATAAAATGGTCGACATACTGAAGCAAATAGGAATCAATCAAAAAGATTTAAACATAATTATAAACTTATATTGGAACCAGACGGCAGCTTTGAGAATTGATGGTAGTCACACAGAACAAATAAATATACTACGAGGAATAAGGCAAGGCTGTATTTTGTCGCCCATCTTATTCACTATTCTTTCGAGAAGCACTAGATAACATTGAGGAAGGGATCACTATAAACGGTACTAAACTTAATAACATACGATATGCAGATGACACCATCATGTTTGCAGATAGTCTTCAAGGATTACAAAGTTTGATGGATAGGGTGACCAAAATTAGCTCACAGTACGGGTTAGAAATGAGCATAAACAAAACTAAACTCCTCATAGTGAGTAAAAGAAACATCGCTGAAGACAGTTTATACATCAATCACAGTAGAATACAAAGAGTAAGGCAGTACACATACTTGGGGACAATCATTAACGAGAGATGGGACAACTCTCTAGAAATACGATGTCGCATCGAAAAGGCCCGCTCTGTGTTTATTAAAATAAGCTCGCTTTTCAAAAGCCATAATCTATCCTTAGACATGAAGCTTAGACTCTTGCATTGTTACATTTTCTCGGTCCTTCTGTATGGCGAAGAAACTTGTACACTCACTAAAGAGACTACCAGGAGAATTGAACCGTTCGAAATCTGGCTGTATAGGAGAATACTGAAAATATCTTGGACACAAAAAATTACCAACATAGAAGTAATGCGTCGGATGAATAAAGAACCAGAACTGTTAGATATCATAAAATGTCGGAAACTTCAGTATTTCGGCTACAAAATGAGGAACCAAAATAGATACGGGCTGCTACAGGAAATCGTACAAGGCAAAATTAATAGCAGGAGAGCACCTAGCCGAAGGAGAATATCTTGGCTAGCAAATCTTAGAACGTGGTTTGATAAATCAACTGTAGAACTTTTCCGAATCGCCATCAACAAAGTAAGAATAGCCATTTTGATAGCCAACATCCGGAACGGATTGGCATTTGAAGAAGATAAATTGTATCCCAACTATCAATCCCCGTCTCGTTAAAAACTGAAAACAAATCTCAAATTATTAAAATCAATACCCCAAGATTTGCAGAAGGTAACATTTGGCAACATTACCCACGAGTGTCAACCTAAATCCCATTTTATCGGCGGATTCGGTTATATGATCCGACAGCATTCTATCTCTTTTTAACTAGGGTTAAACAAAAGAGAAAATGCGCTCTGAGTTTAAAACGAATTTCAATTTCTTACAAACTGCAATTGGCAATAATTTCGACGTCATTTATGCCCCACATCCATTATTAATTTCCCTATATGTTATCAATGAAACGTGTTACATTAAAGATACACGATAACCCCAACCTGAATAAGTTCGGTGTACATTTTTGTTACACCTCGGTTTATAACAAAAGTGTACATCAATGGAGCATCGGCGGCAAGAGCGTTAAGCGTTTTTTTGCATGATTCCTTCAATGGTGCTGGGCACCCTATCAGCCTACCTTCCTCGTTCAGAGTGCTGAGCAGCCCATTCAGCACTAGGCATCACAGCAAGGGCAGTACATCCTCGACCCTAATCGTTGATTCTGTCTTCCAGCATGACACAGATTTTAAGTTTATTTTACAAGGGTAACTATTCATCTTCCCACCTGGTATGGTCATGGAATGAGTTGAAAAAATCGCAGATCACTTTGTATTACTTTTATATTTTCTGAAATAAAATAAGTATAGGCGTAAATGGGCCACCCTGTACATAAAATAAACTATGGGCAATTAAGCTTTAAATTATTCTGATTTTCACTTATTTAATATTCTATTGCCTATTTTGCACAGAGAATGACAAAAAATGTAGGTAATGTTTATAAATTGATCTAATTAAACAGCAAAACAGAAAATTCTTTAGAAATTTTCTTCTGTTCTTATTTTAAGGTCTTTCGTGCTTTCTGTTTATTTCCCAATTAAAGCTGCTATAACGATGTTAAATATGATTTTTCTAGTGTATAATTTAAATTTTTTCTCGTTCCAATTTGCTGTGAACAACACTTCGTTAATAATTTTGGCTTTTCTAACAAAGTTTTGATTCTAATTTAAAATTTATGGAATAATTTCCGTTGAAAGAAGATTGATAAACTTTTCAGCTAAAATAAATTGTAAAAAGCTTTTTACAATTACAACTCATCTTCAAAGCTTTTATGATAAATTCTGCTGATAATAAATTTAATATCTTCGTACGAAATTTATTATGCGGAAAATAGCTATAAAGATGTACCTAACACAACAACAAAATAAGTACATACTTAATAATTTATGTACAATATTAATGTGTAAAGCTTTATAAAGTCCTTTTTTCAATCTTAAAGGATCTATAAAAATGTTCTCAAGGTCCTCGATATTACAGGTGACCTCAAACGATTTTTCGCCGATCCTAGTACAAAGGATCACTTCATTGGCTTCTTTTTTAATTGCCATCCATTGTCGCCAAATAAAATATTTTTCAATAATTTGAAGGGGATGAAAAGTCTCAAAGTTTATAGAGATTCCATCGATAATAACTGGGGATTAAGGATTCAGAGCCGAATGAAAATATTGTGAGTTGGAAACTTAAAGAAGAGAAATGTTCTTGTACAAATAAATTATACATAAAACTAATTATTTATTACCATAAAAGCCGATACCAATTATCTCCTAGTTTACGGAAAAATCTGGTCTTCTTGACACCATTTTCGGTTTCCAAGTGATCGAGATTTCACATTTCACTCACTCTTCTTTTTTTGCAATTCACTTTTATTGATTACGACATTGATGATTTGTATCGGTTAGTTGCATTTTTTGATAGAATGAAAAAACCCTCTGTTTTCGCTTATTAATTGTTCACTTTTCTTTAAAGCCTTGCAAAATATGTAAAACTTTATTGCTTGTTTTACAGTTTTACATTAAAAGGGTATGCATTCCGCCTTCTTTCCATAATACTTTTTTCTGCTACATCAGTTTGACGGAGGGAAAAAAAGAGCTTTTCATCCCTAGATCCTAGAGGGAGGAAAATCGAGAGGAAAGTATTTTCTATACCGACTCTACCGCTTATTCTAGTGAAAATTTTTCAAAAATTATTCAAAGATCCTAAAATTGGCAGTGTGATAATCTCTAACTTTGATTGTGATTGATGTGAAATGAACGATTTTACCAGATTCTATTGAATTGTTTGAGCTTGATTTATTTTACATTTCTTTCTCTCATTTAACATAAAATATGTACTTCTATCAACTTGATCCTAATAAAAGATTCGCCTTGTAATTTACAAGGTTGAAATGCGTGAAATTTAAAAATCAAGGTAAAGGTTATTGTATTAATAAAAGGTTGAAAACCCTGGTAAAGCAAAAAAATACCTACAATAAATATGAAGTTAGAAGGCGGAAAATTTGAATTATGTATATTCAACGTTTTTCCTTTTCGAGCTTACATGGAATTTGGAATATTTAAGTAACCGTCAGCATAATAAAGGGAAAATAATAAACTTTGCAGATTTATAATTGAAAAATCCTCTCTTTGACAATGACAAAATCATTTCCAGATTTTTATTTTGTTCTCAAATCCAATGGAAGCAATTCTTTTCAATAACACGACACAATGCTACTCCAAATTTGCTCCCAAATACATGTATTCCGAAATATAAAAAAATAATTAATTAGGGGGAGGAAAAAAATCTGGGCTGGTTTAGATTTTGTGTATATTTTCCAAACCAAAGCCATCCATCCATAATATCTCAATTTTTCTTTCCAGAAAATGCAGCGACTCTCAAGTATTCGTCAAAAACGGCCAGACTCATTGCATAGACGTATGTAGCGAACGCACCATGTGCGGCGAAGTAGAAGTGCCGCAAGACCATTTGGACGCTTGTAGAGTGTGCAACTCTACGGGACAAAACTGCGGCGTTTTTCCGGGATCGCAAGCCGGAGACGGTATTCCAGATTTCGATTTTGTCTTTTACGTGTCCGCAATGCAAACGGAACGGTGCAACAAGTCTTTGACTGTTGCTTATGCCAGTCATTGCCAACAGGAATCTGGACTTGATAGGTAAGAATTACTAGCTGTTCTTTCATTCAATACCATTTCAAGCTGAACTGTTGAAACTGCATCAAAATCATCAGCTTCAAGCTTCAAGCTTTATAGAGGGTTTGTTGAATTTGAGCCTAATGGAGTTGTGAGGCAAAAAATGGTGCTTCGCTGTTATTTTGAAATACATGACATTGAGACACGTTTTATTTTATTTTTCTGAGTAAAATGGGTAATGGATTTGATTGCAAGTATTCTGCAAGTATGTAGCTTTCCACGAGCTTATCTTAATTTTCCCACTTTGAAGCTTCAGAGCTGTGAAACTGCATCAAAATCGTACCATCCAAGATTTGTAGAGGATTTGATTTATTTATACAATATTGAAAACCCAGAAGATAATGATGCAATATGCATAAAATGGACAAGTGCGTCTGTGTGAATGCATACTGGGCTCATCAATAAAAGGTTAAAATAGTTAACCGATTTGCTCTTGTTTGAATGCCATGACTGATACAATTTTGAAAGTTTTTGGTGGAAATTGAAAATCTAAGTACACTTTCAATATATAATTGAGTAACAGTGAAAACGCCAGACTCTATCAGCAATAGGTCAGATGGGAATTGCTTATGTTTGAACAAAATAACTTTTAATACCTATATATTTCTGTACAATGGTAATGTTCTACAAGGTGTCATTGTGAGCAGAACCCCAGCATATAATGCCATAGCTCAAGCAAGATTCAGCAAATGCTCTGTATACTTTTATGATTGTATTTTTATTTAGAACAATATGTACCTAATTCGTAGAACTTGAAAGTAAGTTTTTTTAGTTTATTTTTAACGTAATCAGCATGATGCTGCCATTTCAACTGATTATCGAAGTAAACCTAAGTATTCAATTTTATTTGCTGATTTGATATTATCACAACATGCATGTACAGTCGTTCTTCATATAACAGTCATTGGTGAGCACTTTCAGTACATGCCTGTTTGGTAACCCCCTCACATTCATTGAAAAATACATGAAGTTAGTTTATTTAACATTCACTGTAAGCGAATTCATATCCATCCAAGCCCGAACAGTGCACATTGCACTTTCAGCCTCCTGTGGAACACCGCACCCGACCATGAATGAACTTGAAACCGCATCAAGATTAACTCTTTGAGTTCTATTTGTTAGATACCTACGACTCAAATAGTTCAAGCACTATTCCTTTTATGCCAATGTTGTATAACTTGTTCAATAAAGTACGATGGTCCTCAGTGTCGAGCGCCTTGATAAGGTCCAGAAAAACACCAAGAGGTTATCAAAACAGTTTGTAAATGAAAGTGGTGACATCATTCAAGGCATCATCTGTAACTTCCTCCTCCGTAAAACCAAACTGTGACTTCAACAATATTTTATTAACATACAAAAAATGGCATATCCGTTTCTTCATACATTTTTCAATAACTTCACAGATAGGACTAGTGAGTGCAATGGGTCGATAATTGCCCGGACCAGTTTTATCCCCCCCCCTTTATGTAGTGGGACAATCACTACCCTTTTAAAAATATCTGGAAAATGCCATCAACAAATATCAAATTCACAATATGTACCAAGGGGGAAAGCAAAAGCCTAAAATTAGATTTCACAATTTGGTGAGAGACGCCAAAATCATCAACAGGAGACCATGGCTTCAGCAATCTATCTATCTATTCAGCCTTCTTCAGTCCATCTTTGGACGTAGGCCTCCCCCAGTCTTCTCCATTCCTCTCTGTCTGTTGCCATGTTCATCCACCTGGCTTAAAATACATTTATTCCATCGGTCGTCTCTTTATCTGATATTGTGACCTGCGAATTTCCATTTTAATTTTGCTGCCTCCTTCCTAACTTCTCTTACTCTCGTTTTATTTCTTATCCACTCGTTCCTTTTTTTATCTATCCGTTTCACATGTAACATTTGTATTTCCATTGATCCTTGTGCTTTTGTTATTTTATCCATGTTTGACTTTGTAAGTGTCCATGTTTGGGATCCATAGGTGAGGACAGGAAGTATACATTGATTATACATTTTGGTTTTAAGGTATTGTGGATATTTTCTATTTTTCAAGATGTAGCTTAATTTGCCGAATGCTGACCAAGCCAATCCAACTCGTCTCTTGATTTCTGCTGTTTGGTTTTCTTTGATGAGTTTAATAATCTGTCCTAGTTATATATATTTTTTTCGAGTTGTTCTATTTTTTCCTGTCCTATTCTGATAGTGATGTCATCGTTTGTGTTCGTTATTGTTTTAGTTTTAGCGTAGTTCATATTGAGACCTATGTTTTTAGCTGCTGTGTCAAGTTCTTCCAGCATTTCCTTCAGTTATTCTTCATCCGCGTATCTTAAGTTGCTCAAGTGTTGTCCGCATATTTTTATACCTTTTTCTTCCCAGTCTAGTTTTTTAAAAACATCTTCCAGGGCCTGGTTGAAAAGTTTAGGTGATAATGTGTCGCCCTGTCTGACACCTCTTCCTATGGGTATTGGTTTTGTTCCCTCGTGAATTTTAACAGTTGTTGTTGCTTCGCTATATATGTTGTGTATCTGTAGTCTATTCTTCTATTAATCAATGAGCTCTTTACTGCCCAGTGTTCAACACTATCAAAAGCCTTTTCGGAGTCGATGAATGCAATATATAGTGGGATGTGATATTCTTTGGCTCGTTCTATTAGGATTTTCATAGTTAATAGGTGGTCACTTGTACTGAAACCCTTTCTGAAGCTGGCATGCTCTTTCGATTGGTAACCATCGAATTTAATTGTTAGCCTGGTGGTGAGAATTTTTGTGAAAAGCTTGAAAATTACATTAAGGAGTGTATACGTCGATAGTTTTTCAAGTCTGTTCAATCACCTTTCTTATGAAGGATGATGATGGTTATGGATTAATTCCAGTTGTTTGGGATTTTCTTTTCTTTCAGTATTTTATTTAGGAGGGTATGGAGAGTATTGATAACCGCTTTTCCACCATACTTTAGCATTTTTGCCGTGACGCCGTCTTTTCCAGGTGCTTTGCTGTTTTTCATTTCTTTCAGAGTCCTCTTTATTCCCGATTTGCTTATTTCGGGTTGTAGTTCTGAGTTTATATTCTTTATTTTAGTTTGTAGTTTGTTACGGGCTATTTTCAGAGATTGAATTGGTATCGCTTTCCAAGCAATTTGATATTGAATATTATGAGCAGTTTGTCCACTGAGTATTTTTGGCGTTCACCGTTCCTTAAATCTAAAAGAAAAACCCATTCTCGTATAATAAAGATAAATCCATCAAATTCAAATATTTGGTACAACTATAAGAGAAAGAGAGAGAACCGAGTCGATGGTACCGATTTTATTTTCCATCGCTGTTATCTAGCAGGGACGGTACCGAATTTCAGGCATTTGCAAAAAATTAGGTTGATCATTCGATTTTTGGCTGCGAAAGCTACTTGATTGACGCTAGCACGTTTTGCTGATTTTACATTAGAATATCGGTTTTCCTTTTCCCAATTTAATTGCAGAATAGTTTTCTGAGTCTAAGCATAGTTTGCTGATGTGATTTTGGGAAAAATCCTGGAAAATATTGGAAATTCTAAGATATTAACTACAAAACCACATGGTTTCTCTTTGAAAGGCCACCTTAGAACTTTCGGTAACTCTTATTTGTTCTTTCTAGCCTGTTCCGCTGCTGATACTCGTTTTTTTTATATAGGCCTTTTTCTTCTTTTATCTTGCGATTTTTGTTATTCCTTTGCTGGGAAATCCACCTTGACCAGTGTCCTTGTCATTCTTGTCCTGGCAACTAAGGGAACTATACTGAAACTGATGCACTTGCCTCAGTATCCTGGGATTTCTTTACGTCGGATGCCACAATTTATACCTACCAGACTCGGAATTACTGGGTACAGACAGTATCAAATGGACAAGAAAATGGTACCTACCTGAACGGGTTTTGTGTATTGTACTGAACTGCTCCTGCTTCCCATAAGGTCAGATCTTTCCATTTTTCTTATATAATTGAATTATCTCAAGCCCTCAGCGTGGCTGAAAAACATTGAATGGTAACATACGTATTTAACTGGCCGTGTACTATTACCACTTTTGCGCCTTCTAGTTTTTAAGTTGGTTGTTTCGATAAAGTGCTGAAAACCTTACGAATGTACACCAAATATATGCATATACGCGGTATTTTCTAATCACTGGTGATTATTTACAGTATTTTCAAGTTTCAAGAGTATTTTGTTAACTTTTACATAAGTAGTTTATTCAAATTCGAATATGATGAACGATAAAATACTAATTTGATATATGACATTACTGAAGGTGTAAAATTATAGTTTTTTAATTCTTTAATTAAAGCTGCCACTTCATATTTTGAATTTAGTGTTTCTTTCCCTTGGTTTATTGCTTACTTTAGGTTCTTTCCCGTTTTGTTGGTTAGCACGATTACCTTTCTGTAGGGGTGAAAACGGGTGGCGCTATTATAAATTTATCTGAGCTATTTACCCACGACCACTCTCCACTGGCATAGCTAGCTAGGAAGGGCCTTTGTACCCCAAACAGGTAATTGTTCCGAACCGTTTAGGTAAACTTTTGGTTTAGTGCATTTTTAGCTAACATTATCTTTAGAATTCCACTCATTTTGCAGCGAAACAATATAATTTTCATATTTAATTTTTTTTTTCTCATAACAAATATTTATAATTTTTTTTACTCATAACAAGTTGTTTTACTATTTCTTCCAGTGGTTCCTTTTTTGTTTGATATAGTTCTGTATAAAAGAGTTGTGTGATATTTATGATATCCTCCTTAATATTAGTTTCTACGCCGTTCTTGTCTTTTATTTTATTTATTTCATATCTTCCTAGTGTCGGTCTTAGGCATTTCATATTCCTGTTATTCTCTATGACTCTTTCTATTTCTATTTCTTGGTTCTTCCTTTTGTTTTTTTTTCATCATTTTCTTGATGGTCTTATTGATTTCTGTGTATTCTATCGATTTCCTTTCCCCTTCTTCGTTCACTTTCCGC